TCAATTTTTTTTTATAGTTCTCAAATTACATTCACTGTAAAAAATTACGGAACTAACAATAAGTACCGGCACTTTTTGTGCATCATCCGTAAAATCCATTTTAACCGTGAAATAGTATCCCGCAATTTTTACAGTAATATTTATTTAATTAAAGTGATTCGGTGTTTTTTTAAGTAATTATTACTGTTAAATCTACGGTCTATCAGATTTTTTGGTCCATAAAACTTTACGATAAGAATGGATTTTAAGATGAGTACCGGTAGTTTTTACCGTAATCTTTAACAGTGTAGGTAATATCGGCAAGCTACCGAGAAAATCTTCAAATTACCTCTTAGGCATTCGTAAAGTGGAATTAGCTTCAACAATCGCAACGTTTCCATATACTTAAACTAACGTAATGCTACTTATTCATTTTTCGCAAGTCTAGTTATTACAATCAACAGATTATTTGATAATCAGCCATCACTTTAATACAAAGAATCAAACTGTTAAGATGGTTATTACAATTAACCACTTCCCTGATTATCCCGAGTTAACTCGTTCATACTGCAAATATTNTTCTGCTCCATGATAAAGTGCGTCCACACGTCTCCAGACTCACACACATGGAACTGGCCAAGTTCAAGTGGGAGACGTTGGACCATCCGCCCTACAATCCGGACTAGTCGCCCTGCGATTTCCATGTGTTTGCACCACCTGAAAGAGAAGCTCTTCAACTCGGACGACATACTCAAGGACGCTGTGAAGGACTGGGTCTCGTCAAGACCACAGGAATTCTGGGAGCAAGGAATCCTGCGTCTTGTTCATCAGTGGGATCGCTGTGCACAGGCCTATGGTGTATACTTTGAATAAAGTCTACATTTGTAAGCACCGTGTCGTTTCGTACCTTTTCATTTGATCCCCCCTTGTATATTTCAACATTAAGTTTATATAATAAGTTTGACTTGAAAGGAATTTCGAAATGATTGTTAATGGCACTCATTGTTTCTGGGATAATCTGGTTTCCACAAAATTAATCAGTTAAGTTTTGACCATACTTTTTTCCTCGGTTTTAAGATATCCGATGGAAGGATCTGCTTTTCTTTCTGACGTCCAAAAGAAAAAAAATGGGTAATTCTTAATGGGTTTGTTAATGTAAATGGTAAACAGTTTGTGTCCGTGCAAAATTGATCCCTGAAGCCCGGCTTAATGCTAATGCTATTGTCCCGCAGGGATTGATAAATGGTCTGATATATCCTATACTTTGAGACACATCATCAAAGTGGATGTTTCGGCAATAAACAGTTATGTTTCTTTTCGAGCTCAATATTTGTAACGGCGTTTTCCCTTCGCTTTATATTTATTTCTTTTTGTCTTGGCCTAGATGGAACAAGGAGTATATTATTCACTGGGAATATGTATTTGTGTATAAACTTTCTTTATTTGCAATCATTGAAGTGTGAAAATAAGCTATTCTACAGATTGTCGACCTAATATCCAGAGGAGATACATATAGTGTCAAAATGTTTTTATACATATAGTGTACATATAGTGATAAATATATACATATAGTGTCAGATACATACATATAGTGTCAAATACATATAGAGATACATATAGTGTCAAATGTCTCTAATTACATACACTGTAAAAAATTACGGTACCAAACACCGGCACTTTTGGTGCATCACCCGTAATATCCATTTTTACCGTAAAATAGTATCCCGCAATTTTTACAGTAATATTTTTTTAATTAAAGTGATTCGGGTTCTTTTTTCGGTAATTATTACTATAAAATCTACCGTCTATCAGATATTTTGGTCCATAAAGCTTAAAGATACGAATGGATTTTAAGGTGAGTACCGGTAATTTTTAGTGTAATCTTTAACAGTGTAGGTAATATCGGTAAACTACCGAGAAAATCTTCAAATTACCTCTTAGGCATTCGTAAAGTGGAATTAGCTTCAACAATCGCAACGTTTCCATATACTTAAACTAACGTAATGCTACTTATTCATTTTTCGCAAGTCTAGTTATTACAATCAACAGATTATTTGATAATCAGCCATCACTTTAATACAAAGAATCAAACTGTTAAGATGGTTATTACAATTAACCACTTCCCTGATTATCCCGAGTTAACTCGTTCATACTGCAAATATTTATCATCCCGAGAAAACTCGGGTTTTGCAGAATTTGTAAGTACATTTTGTTTTATCACGTTTTTACTCGGTCGTTATCTGCTGTGATGGGAAGTTTTATTTGGGAGTTTTGGTGGTGAACCGTGGGACCGCACACGTTGTTTGTGCGATTGTATTTACTATGGTTGCTGAATTTAAATAGCAATAAGAGTAAAAAAATGGCGTATACCTTCACTGACGATTGGAAAGTATTACTTTGTGTTGTTCCTTGTTTTAAGAACTATCATACAAAGACTAATATTTAACTTTTTTCATTTCCCCGAAATAACTCGGTATAGTAAACTGATTTTAAATTAAAGGTTTCTTACACATACAAAAATTCAAATTTTAACTTAAAACTTGTGCATTATGTTTTGTTTCAGTTCCTTGTATTTATTAATGAAATTAAGCAATATGTTGATTTTTTCCTTCAAAATAATTTGTAAAGGAAGTGGTTAAGAGAATCAATATAATGTCCTTTATTTAATTTTAAATATCTAAAGAATAAAGTCAATAAGTATAATCAAACCACTAAAAAATTAGTTTGTAGAATGAAAGAAACCAACTTTATCTACATGGAAATCATTAATAGACACATTTCACAAGAAAACGCTTGATTCAACAATTTAACTGATTACCCTAGTTAATCTGATGATTAGTTAGATAATGTGCAGATCAACTTCTTAAGGTATCTTTTTTTATGCAAATTTGCTTTTTTTTCTTCCCATTTATGGCAACAACTACATTGACTTTGTTTCATTGCACTGTGAAAAATAGATGCTCAAATTTCACGGAACTTTCTTCGTTTCTCACTTAAACGTTTCTTGGTATATACTCCGAGCAAAAATTGCGTCAAAGTGACGAAATCATATTATTTTATTTTCTTTTATAAACGTGGTTGAACAGCCGACCCAATTTTGAGCTTATGACTGCTAATGTTCAACCTTGTAATTTTGAACCCAATTCAGAAGACAAGAGAACTCCTGGTTCAATCAGAACGGATCAATTTAGTTGTACAACGTAACTAACACAAACTGCGTAGCGGATGAAAAATAAGAAAGTTGTCCCTATGTTTAGGCTACTAAGCTGCGCAGTGGTGGTAAATACGAAATAGGTCATTGCGTTTGGAAATGTCTTGTTTATGGTTTATGTTATGTCTTGCTCTAACCCGTGCTGAGGGCTGCTTTGTTCTAGAGATTTGAACCTAAACAACACAAAAAGGGCAGACAGAACAGAGAGATAAATTACACCCATTCCCAAAGTGGGATTCGAACCTGTGATAGTCCTAGTTCAACTCCATAAACTTGACCACTCTACTGGTCGGCTTGTTCTTTCACTTTATTTTCGATCACCTAGTTCCCACAGTGCACTATGATAAAAGAGGTTTCGATTTGAGGAAACATTTTCGTCATATAGTTGAGATTTCGTGTTTCGTCACAAATGTGATTGTGTGATGAAATGGTTCTCAAAATTAACGAAATATAGCTCAAGGATTGCTGAATCGTCAAAATTTAGAGTTTTATTTCTGAGAGTTCGCACCTTACACGAAGTACTTGGAACAAATATAATAAGAAGTCAAATCTTCAAATTGTTCAGGAGAACATTTCGTGGAAGTAAGTACCATGCATTTTAAAATAGGCGAAAAGATAATTCTGTAAATTGTAAGTATAAATTAACTTTTAAAGTACCTATCCTGAAACAACGCTAATCATTAAGTTAAATACAGATTAAGAATTTCAGTTTGAAAAAAAAATGTGACCTATCACTATATTGCCCTAAACGTTTTGTACGTAAGGGAAGGAAATGTAACTAAAGAGTATTTATTGTACTTACATAAACATTTTTTGATGCTCGTAGCACATCGATTGCATGCTCGTAGTACATCAAAAATCAATTTCCTCAGATATTTCTTGGGGAAGCTTTTTTTTTTAAATAGCAGGAAAAAAATAAAAATGTTAGAAAATCTTTCCTTCTTTTTAAAAAACACAAATACACTATATTTTATGTCGTGAATTTTGTCATCTGACTGCCTGAAACTGCAAGATAGGTATTATTTTTGAAGATTTATTGTAAAAATGTGATACATAAATCATATCTGGAACTGAATGTTTAAACACTTGCAACGGAAGTTTAATAATAAATATCATTTTTTAAAAACTGATTTACAGCTATTTCAGATTTAATATTTTGTTTATGTTCTTTTAGATTTTTCTATCACCCAATCATATGAAAAATTGTTTTTAATGATGATGTTCAGAGTTCGTAAAATAAAATGTTGCTCTTGGGGTGAAATATCTGAGATACTTTTAGGATTCTTAATAAATTTATACTATTCAGCATAACTATTATAGTTAACTTAACTGGATAGTATATTTAGACATTACCGATTCCATAAGTTTTGTTTAAGTCAGTTGTAGGCCTGGTAGACAGGGAACTGGTCTCTTGTTTGTGAGAACAGGAGTTCGAATCCAGCAGGCCGAAAAATCCCCGTGTAGTTAATGGTAACTGGTGTACTTTAGATCTGCCGGGTCACAAAGTCCTCCATGTTCCCATAACAAATCAATACCTCTGGGGGTACTGAATTGGGGATTCTCTGATTCTGATCAAAATTACGATCTGTGGACGAATAAATGGCTGTAGGAATGTGTCAGCCCTATAAACGGGTGTGACGTATTGGTGTGGTAGAAGTTGAATTCTTGGCCATAGATGGAGGCACTGGAAAATAAGAAAACAAGAACAATCGCAGCCCCTCTGCCTTACTGACCGATAGCAGTTGTAATAAAAAAAAGACATTCTTACAATAAGCAGTTACTATGTATTCATTGTTTTTTTTTCTTTTAGAGTTTTGCAAGATATCGTAATCAGAATGAATCCTGAACTGAGTTTTTATAATTGTAGTCGGAGTACAAAACTGTTGCTGTTTCTTCTCCTTTCAGGAATTGAAGTGAGTATTACTTCAAAAATTCCGTTTGCTTTAATGAAATGTTTGTTTTCAAGTCCAAAAATAATCATGTTATGTACGAAAACTCATTAAATCACATTTACGACGTTGATTAAATAAATAATAAATTACGATTTTAGTTCTGTTGATAAATTACGAACTTTTCCAAGAAGCGGAAAATAAATACTGACCTTTTATTTTGTGTTAGTTTCTGGCGTCAAACTTATTGTAGTGTTCATCGAATTTCTTTTATTATGTGTAAAAAAAAATTTAAAGTCAAATATAAAATAAATATAATTTATTTTAAAATAGAATTTTTGTTGATTGAAAAGCTATTTATTGTTGATTGAATTACTGTTAATTGAAAAGCTAGTTATGAAATAAATAGAAAGACCATTAAAGTTCTCGTTGAAATCTGATTAACTTTGTACAACAAATGAATAAAGCTAAACAATGGTAAAAGAGTACTCATAAAGCCCCATAAATACACTATAATTTCAGTTTTGTTGTGTAGAAGTTTCTACATTGTTGAAGCCCTACATGAAAAAGACGCAGTTTCACAATTTTTCCTTTCTCCCTACTTTTGTTTAATTTCATTTTTCAAGCTTTTACCCGCCCCCCCCTCCCATTTTACGGTTCCGTTTCTCATTGTAATAACACTTTTGCAGTTTTTTTTCTCCATTTCTGAGTTTTTACTCTTTTATTCGGTGTTTCGATTGTGAAGAATGTTCTTAGTTAAGAAAAAAAAGATACTAAAGAAAGCCTGTTTTTGCGGTATTTTATGAACTATTTTTAAACTTTTCAGATTTATTAATATTAAAAAGCTGATTTCGAAACTTCTCAAAGAAAACCGCTATAAAATGCATCAGTTAAAGTTTTATATCAATGTAGGAAAAACATATTTGAGTGTCTTTAAAATATTACTTTAAAGAGTGTTATCTAAAGCACTAAATGGTCCTAGTAGGAGCCTCCATAAAATATTGCATTTGTTAATCATTCTTTCTCCCGTTTATGTAATGAAATGGAAAAGTATTAAATAAAAGTATCGATCGACGTTAAAAATGTAGTTAACATATTTAACGAGTCATAAAATTTGTCTTTTTAACATCGTTACTCGTTTCTAAAGATAAAAAATAAGAATCCCAAATCTATAGAATAATATGAGATTTGTAATTAAGCCGATCATGTGTCATAGATCTCGCACATGTAAACGCCACTTTTTTCGTTTAATTATCTTTTTTTTGTAAAACATTTTACAAGCACGCGTTAATGAAACAAAATTTTTAAACAGCTAGCTGAAGAGGGAAAAAAAAAAGATTGTGTGACGGTTTAATTACTACCTTATCCATTTTTATTATTAACATCGTGTAAAAATCGAGATAAAAAAGGAATAAAAAAAATTATTTCATTTTATTATCAGTGATTACCAGTTTCTAAATGTAATGAAGTGTTCACTTCTTTAAGCTTTTTTATTTTGAATCAAATTTAGAAAATGAAACAACTATGGGTTGAAGTTTCGATAAAATATATTTTAGTTGAAGACACGAAAAATAATGCGATCTTATGTTAATTGAGAGGAGCAGAATGAGTTTTAAAGTTAACGAATTTTTAACAGTATTCGTTATATGCAGCACATATGAATTTTTAAGTTCCAACCGAATTTCCCAGGAGATTAATTATTTTTACTAAACTAAGCGCGACAGTCCATTTAGGGTCAAAATCTACTGTGCCCATCCCAGTTTTCTTGACCTTGAGTTCTGGGATGCAAGAGTAGACATTCCAATTGTGTGGTTAGAGCCGTGATGGCTCAGGGGATAAAACTTTCGACTTCCAATGAGGTGAAAAGGATCGAATCCCGGCAATTGATTCGGATACCACACCCGGCTTGCACCGACCACAGTGCTGACGTAAAATATCCTCAGTGGTAGACGGGTCATTGGTTAAAGTCCCTTTGCAATCAAGCTAACCGTGGGAGGTTCTAGTGGTTTTTCCTCTCCTTGTAACGCAAACGCGGGTTAGTTCCCTCAAAAAGTCATCCACGAAGGCAGATTTCTCCCAATACTAGATCCAGGAGTTCCCTTGTCTTCTGGATGGGTTTCAAAATTACAAGGCTACGGAATTGAATATTAGTAGTCGTTACCCAAAAAATTGAGTCTTCTGTTCAACAAGGGTTACAAAATAAAATTTCTCCGGAAACCAATTTTTTTTTTACGAAACAAAGCGCGACAGCCCATTTAGGGCCAAAGCCAATTGTGCTTATCATAGCTTTCATGTCCTGGGGTGCAGGAGCAGATATTCCGATTGGGTGGTCAGTCGGACGTGGAACCACCTGTGTTTAGTTCCCAAACCTTTTTATCAACCCACTGGAGGGATGAATTGATTGGTTGTTCGGTTTAAGGATAGAGCTCCGAGTGCACGGAGCGATACCACTCAGGCACAGGTCCTCACCAATTTTTTAACAAACGTTAAAAAATGTACACCCATTAGCTAACATTTGAGCTAGAAATACGAACTGTGTAACGAAATGTTAACCCGAGGTATTAACTGGAAGATTGTTCGCCCATTCTCTAAAAAAGTTTATGGCCAAAAAAAAAGTTAACTTTTGAGCTTGGAAACCAGTACTTGAATTTTGCATTAAAATGTTAACCATTTGATGATAATCGTTTGTCCACACACTACAGAATGTCATGGCCAAAAACTATTAAACTAACTTTTCAGCTCTTCACGGACTCTATACGAAGAATATACATAGGGGAAGGAGACTAGATATCGTAGACATATTGTAAACTAATCCCACAAGGTATTAGAGGCACATAAGCTGAAGTTCGTGGAACGGGTTTCCACACTCCTCCCTTCCCAGCCTCTACTGGGGTTGGTACTAGAGAAGAACATTTCCTTCTTTTTATTTATTATTTTTCTGCTCTACATTTTTACACAATTGATAAACGGTGCTGTACTGGTAATAAAGAGGTTCTTTTGAAGAGCCATTTATATCATCCGTGGTGATTAAATCTGCTGACGCATTTTGACATAGAAAGAAAGAATGAAATGGCTGTTGGCGGGAAGCTGCGTACCTAGCAGTGAATGTAGAGTAGTTCAACAACTCGTTCACAGGTGTCGTACTGTAAGATTGACTGTCATTTTGCTTGGTAAGCACTGCTTTGTGTGCTGCATCTTAGTTCAAACGAAGCTCTGCAAAATCTGAGCATGTTTGTTTGCATAGTTTGACCATGTAAGTTGTTTTTCTGGTATAGTGTACCAAACCCAGCAGTTTCCGGCGTTTGTTACGGATTCTAAGAGCTGAACTTCTTCCTCTTCCTATATTCTTTGGCCTATATCATTTTCCTTCTATAATCAACTATACTTATATCTGCATGGATTAGATTAAAATTCGGATTTTTTTTTTCATGATTGCTTTCTATAAAATGACGTGTAACATTCTTAATGGCGCAAATGAAATTGACTTGAAAGAAAAGTATTTCAGGGAAAAGCAAATTTTAAAAGTTCCACACATTAATGGAACGAAAATTCTAGGTAATTTATGTACAATTTTGAACTGTGTCCGTGAAACACTAACATCAAATTGTTATCATCTAGGAGTCAGCGAATAATTAAACAAAAATATTCCCTGACATAAAAATTATTGATCAAATTTCCGGGAACTAAGGCAAAAAATTTGCTACGATGACTCTATGGCAAAAGCACTGAGGTTCACACATTGTAGGGGTAACAACGGTGTTTAGAAAATGTACATGCGCAAAAAAACAAAAAATAAATATATAAATGGACCAACCTAAATAACTTTTGCAATAATGCTCGGTTCTTCGCATTCCAGGAGTCAATCTTAATGGTTCGAGGGGGAGACCTCAAATATGCTTATTATCGCAGACGATATTTGTAGTTGCGAAATAAGTCATAAAACGTTATTTCTCTGTATAAACACACCTTTTTTTTCAACGGATTCGGATTTCTGACTCTCAAAATGTAGGGGGTAGCCGCAGTCTGGGAAATATGTTATTAATAGTTTGGACATTAAAGTGGTTCAAGATGTGAACATTTAATCGATACTCCGAACACTGATGTTTCTCCTAATCTATCCTCGGCAGATATTAAAATTTCGAATAAATATAATAATATCAACGAATACATTAATATCAAATTGTACGAGGCAAATATTTTGGACATTGACCGGTGAAAGTCGACACTCTCTTGATTTCGACCATTTGCGATAACATATCTTTTATTTATAACCAGTCATAAAAATGAATAATGATTTTTGTTAACTTAGATTCTGATGTGTGAAGGTGAAAGTAATATTAGTCTGACTATAGAAGAGGAAAATCAGAATGTTGCTTGTCGAACAGAACGTCGTTCATACCTTCCCTACGACCAATACAAAATAGATACATGTGCGAGGTGCTACCATTACATGCCGCACAATTCATTCAAAAATAAATTTAGGTAAGTATTTTTAATCATCCCTCGCATTCTAGTGTAACGATTTAAATTCAATTTTTGTTTACTTGGTAAGGTTTATAACGTGAACCAGTGGTCAATGTACTTGAGAATGTCAGAAGTATGTTTATCTGACACATTTTTTTCCTTTCATTACTTGTGAGAGATGGGATAATACATCAGTTCTTAAATAAAAGATTTATTTTTCCAATAATCACCCGGATATTGACATTCGGGAATCAGAAGTGCAGATTTGTTGACCACTCTTTCAAGGACACCATAGTAGGTGAGCCAACGTTACTGCCACAGTAAGAACGCGACATATAGTGCAGAGAAGAGAAGGAAAGAACATCCTTGCCTTGTCCGGAATTCTAACCTTTTTAACATGAGGTCACCATACAAGCTGTTCGTCTCTTAGTTAAAGGAGCTGGAGTGTTTTCAAAACATCTTTATCTTGTCTCTAATATTTATGATTGTATTCTAAAAATAGACCCATTTTTGGAAACCGAATTGTTTGATAACTTATTTGCGGTCATGCTTTTTGTAATCCTTTAATGTAATTTTAGTTCATTTCATGAACAAGAGATTTGTTAAACAGTTTAGTGCCCTTTTCATTTGAGAACCTCAGACATGTGTAAACAAAACATATTATACAACTTCTGTTATTACTTTGAATTGGGATATCATATCCATGTACTCTATCTAAGCTCTTAAATACGTGTTTTCAGAACTTCTTTTTATTTTGATTCGGCATCTTCAACTGTGTTCTAAAAGTAGTCACATTTTTGCGAAAAAAACTTATATATTTCTATAGTGTATTTTTGCTCATGTTTCTAATGATTCTAATGATTTCTGGGTCATGTTTTTAATGATTTCTTGTAATGATTTAGTTAACCACTTGACAGTCTTCTAATATATACACTTTTTGTATTGTAATCATTTATTCAAGGGCTATTCAAATTGAATTCTGTCACATTTAACTCTTGCTGTATTTTTCAAACAAATTTATACTAGTACAATGAGCATAAAAAAGGACTGTTTTGAATAACTTTTGATCTAATGATTGGATCATCACGTTCTAGGACACAATCATAATGGTTCGAGGGAGTCACCTCATACATGTCAATGAATTAGTACAGACGTTATTTTAAGTTACGAAATCAGACACAAAATCGTACTTTTTCAGCATAAGCACGCCATGTTTTTCAACGGATTTCTGACCTCCAAAATATGGCCGGAAATAGGGTCCCATTAGTTTGGTCTGGCGAACGCTTCAAAGTTTAGACCCTTTAATATTACTTTTATTTTTTGGGTATTTCGCTATATATCGAGAACTTTTGAAGGAAATTGAAAACTTTTCCACACAATTATAAAATTTGTTTTTCCAAAGATATTCCGATGTAAAAAATAAATTACTCTTAGTAAATATTTATTATTTTTTATCATTTTAGTAAAGAATGGTCAAAAAAATTTGAATTGTTTGGAATAAAATTTTGGCAACATTTTAAAGAATAATTTTATATAGTAAAATACGTAATTTGGACAAAATCGGTCGAATAGTTCCTGAGAAATCGAATTTTAAGTATCTGACTTTTTTGAAATTCGATTTCTTAGGAACTATACGACTGATTTTGCTCAAATTTTGTATATTGCTACATAAAATTATATTCTTTGAAGGAAAATTTAAACGGAAAATTGTATACCTTACATTTCAATTTTTTTCCGATCATTCTTAAATTAAATAATAAAAAATTATAAATATTTTCTGAAGGTTTCTTTTAACATGGAAATATCTTTGGATAAACGAATTTTAAAATCATGTGTAAAAAAATTGCTAATTCGCATAAAAAGTTCTCGAGATATAGCGAAATTTCCCAAAAAGTGAAATTAGCATTATGGAGTCCAAACTTTGGAGCGCTCTCCTGGCCAAACAATTGGGACCACATCTCCCAGTTTGGGGCTACCTCTATATTTTCCGAATTATATTATCCGAATCCTATAAGAAAAGGGTATGTTTATTCCGAGAAAGTACATTTTAGTGTCTCATTTGGTAACTTATTATATTGTCTGCACTTTCTTTAAACATATTTCAAGTCGCCACCCTCAAACCAATAAGATTGATTCCCAGAATTTTTTAGGCGCAAGGTTCAGAACTATGTCAGGGATAAATATTTAGAAAATTTAGTCAGTGGTCCGAAGAAATGCTGAAGATATGAACCCGTACCCAATTTTCAGGGGTCCATTTACATTTACTTGTCTTAATTATAAAATCTAATTAGTGTGAATTTTAATTTATGCAGAGAATGTGTTATATTCACAATTATGATAAAATATGCAATTTTGAGACTAAAACAGATTACTATTCCTTTACATAGATTGGTGGTCTGAAGGACTACTTAAAATTTATTTTATGGTGATCCATGTCAAATTTCAGTATTCTCAGACAACGGATACCACCGTTAACTTCGGATCAGAACAAACTTTAACGGTACTCTGGCGAAACCTATCACTTTGTGGATGTGTAAAGTAGCTCCGGGGAAAACATCGTGATCAATAAAAGCATAAACGATTTAAAAGTTGAATTTAATTAGTACAGCAGGACTTACTACAAAAAGTCTCTTTTAGGTTTTAATGACTGAGTTCAATTTTCATAAGAATTAAACTGCTGTAGATTGTATTGAAGAAATGAACGCTTGTATTCCTTAGGTACAGATGGCAACTTTTAGGTCTCTTAAAAGATACCGTCACAAATAAATCGTTTGAAGCGGACCCTTTTAATGCAAGCACGGCCATACTGGAATCATTTTCCGAAGAATCATTTATTTACAAATGGAGAGGATGTTGCGTAGCTGCCATGGAATGTTGCGAAAGGATGGTTTCCATGCCAACATTAGTTTCAGGTACCTGTTCTTACATTGTTTTACCCTAAAAGAACATATAAAACATTCTTGAAAACAAAGGTATATTGTAGTAAATTGTACAGATTAGCTTATAAAAAGAATTTTTTAACGTATAAATGAATATATTTTTAGAACCCTTTTGCAAATATATTTTATCATAATTTTGTGTAAGAGTTGCTAGAGGACTGGAGCTTTCTGTTCGCGGCCGCACACCAACTCCGATGATTGCGCTCAATAATTATTTCTTGGCACAAAGGTTTTTTCCTCTTAGAGTTGAAAATATTCACTTAAAGTATTTTTAATAAAAACAATCCTTTTTGCTCATGCGCTTGCCCCCATGTTTAAACATTTTCCTAATGACTTTTCCTAATGACAATTAATTAAAACTGAGATGCTCTTATAAAAATTTCAATTAAAAATATTAGGAAAACAGATTTCATATGCAGTAAAAGCTCCATGTTAAAGCGTCCAACTTAAGGGACACCCTAACCTGCACACCAATTCTTAAGTACGTAGTAGTGTGACTTACACCAAAAAATAATAATTATAAAATGATTTACATAATTTATATTTTAAACTGTAGCGTAATAAGATAATATGGAAAAATGTGTTGTACTATAATATTTTTATATTATATAGAGATGAAAGGTATATTTCTTAAAGACTTGACTTTATATATGGCTATTATTCTGCATAGCACTACTTTATTTATCTCGGCATAATGTTATTTTTATATATTATTAATGAAACTAATTTAAAATTCAAAAATTCCTTTCTTAAAAATGTTATTTATTCCTTTAAAATTCCTTGTTTTTTTAAAAAAAATTCTGTTTAATTATTTTATTATCAAAGAGGTTTGAAAAAAGTATATATTTTTTTTCTTCTTCAGATTCCACTTATTGTCCACGTACATGGGACGGATGGCAGTGCTGGGATGACACACCAGGGGGCACCACGGCCGTAAACGTTTGCGCTGGGCACATTTATTTTTTAAATGAGCCTCCATCATGTCCAAGTGAGTGTTTTTCCTCAACGTATTTGTCCTACTATAGGTAAAAATCATCAAGTTCACATTGCATACTTTTGTAATAAAGAGGGTGGACGCGTTTCTGTGCTTTGGAAACATCATCAGTATAATGAACACTACATTAATTTATGGAATAATTATTTGATTACCGTTCGCCCAGAAATTTTATCAAATGAGCATTTTCCTCTTAAAAAAAAAAATCCCATTCTTGCTTAACATCAAAACTTTATTAACATTTCTTTACGTGCACCACACTACATAAGACGTTCTGCTATAGGGTTACATTATTTTTTTTGTCAGCTTGGCGATGCTTTTATTTGCCACAGAGTATTGTATTAATATTTATCCTCAATGATTTTGTATTTATATTTATCCTCAATGATATCCTCAATGATCCTTTGGTCCTCAATGATTTTAGACTTATAATAGTTTATATTTGAATTCAATATTCTAAACAAAGATAATTTAAAAGTCGATGTTAATGCCAGTTTGATGCATTTTGGTTTCTATTTTGAATTATTTAATACACTTTCATAAAATCCTATAATTAACCCATCAATCTACTTTATGAAATCCTAAGACAAAATTTTATCTGTTTTTTGTCCTCAATGTTTTCATATTTTAAATAATTCATATTTAGTTTGAAACTCGGAACAAAGTGCGTTACGGTAACTTAAAAATCGATGTAGAGGCAACTTGCACCATTTTGATTTCTATTACAAACGCGAACTTCTACCAGCTATAAAACTTAGATCGAACGCCTCAACAAGCGCATTTAAACTATTAGCAACCTAATTTACAACATTCAGATAACCGAATGTAGGTAAATTGTACCCCACGAAGAGAATGCCAATGGTTGAAACCAGATAGCGACTTGGAAAAGCCATAGAGCACGTTTAATGAGAGTTTCGCACAATATGTTAATTAGGTTTGTATAGGAAGGCAAGGCTATAAAGGCGCACTTTAATGACGTTGTTTAAATTTGTAACTTTACTAAGTATATCATAAATGGTATATTTCATCCATTCGTATGTTTGCTAGATGAGTAAAACTCGCAAACTTATCGAAAGAAAAAAGCTTGTTTCTGAATCCTTATTCTTTAAATTCTACAGAACACTATACGGTCAGAGTGTACACTGAGAGGGGTTCTGAAGTAAGTTACAACTTTATTCTTTTTTATTTATCTCAGTTTAACTGTTCCAAAACAAATCTTTTATAAAATTATTATATATATATATATATATTGCACTACAAAATTCTTTATTTTAATTTAACATTAACTCATAAAAGGACAACAAAACAATAAACATGATATTTTTCAGAAACTTCTCTTATAGTATAGTTTTAAAATTATAGAAATAGTTAAAATAAACTCGAGCTTGATGTTGTGAAGTAATTCAATAAATCATATGATCTATGTAGAATTTTAAAAAAAAAATAATAAAAAAATTGAAGAACATTTTAATTTTTCGATTCAGATGCACAACAAAAAAATTCCAGATAAATTACAGTAAAAAGTACTGCCGCCCTGAGTGCAGCATACATAAAATCCATTTTTACCATAAAATTTTATCACGTAATATATTATAAAAAATATTTACTTAATTACAGTCATTCAGTAACTTTACACTGAATATTACTGTAAAAATTACAATATATCGGATTTTTTTGATCCATAAAATTTTACGGCAAAAATAGATTTTATGGTAAAAAGTACCGGTCCCTGAGTGCCGGTACTTTTCATCGGAATTTGGTTCGGAGTTTTTTGCAGAGTNATATATATTCCTATTTAATTTCAATTTTCCGTAATAATTGTTATAAAACATTAAAATGCAAACATTAAGCTGAGATAATTTAGTTTTTAACGAATAAAAGCACCCGGTTCAAATGTGCATGAACATCCAAGCTGAATGAGCTCTTTGCGATGTACTGTATCATTTTAAGGCATAAATTGATATTTAACTCTCAATCCTTACGATTCGCCCGAACTTTGTTCCTAGTGTGTATGTGCAGTTAAAAAATACCCTGTATACGTTTTTAAAATTGACGAAAAACTTTTATAATCACTTAAGCGTGTGTATGATGATTTTAAAAATTATTAAGCGAAAAAATTTGCCTAGGCAGAGAAACAGAGAAATAGCTTAAATACTTTAAAAATTATAAAATTTTTGTAATATCACTAATCTGGCGCAAGATTTACTAACCAGAATAAAAATAATTGAATAATTTTCAACTCTTGTCAATTTCTGTGAACCCAGATAATTTAACCCTGTAGTAACGTTTCAGGTATTAAAAATTTAGGTCACAAGCACTTTTAAAATTTTTTTGTTTTTGAAACAGTGACTTTTTTTAACATTTTGCGGCGTTAAAGATCTAATCTCACTCTGTTACAAAGTCATAGCAATTATAAAAATTGCATACTGTTTGATCTTCTTTCGTTGTTTGCTGAATCTAAAAGAAGATGAAGCTTGACGATCACAAATGCAGCACAGATTGTAGAAAACTTAACATAGCTTACTTTGCTTTAAAACAGCTTTAAAACATAATAGTTGCAGATTTCAACAGCATTACAGTTATTTAAACATTTCTCGCTGTAAACTTTGCCTAAATCTTTCTACAAGAACTCAGTCAAACTACCACTTTCTGGGATACAACTTTCAAGGAACAATTGATTTATTATGTTATTAATCAATGAAATGTTTATTAATAATATAATAAACAACAGTTACGTAAATTAAAAGGTACTGACAAACTTGGTAAGCTTTTGGTATGAACAATGGAAAGTTATGTAAATTAACTGATAATTTATTAACACATAAAATAGTTCCGACATTATTTTTAGCAAATAATACGCTTATTTCATAATAATTTTCAGCTTGTGGAGTGCTTTATGTTAAGACTTCTTGAAAAAGTCTTAATTTTTGAAGTCCCTTTGTGATTACAAAGGAATTTTATTTTATTTTTTTTTATATCCGTCGTTGAACAGTCGGCCTAATTTTTGGGTTTATGACTACTAATGTTCAACTCCGTAGCCTTGTAATTTTGAACTAATCCAGAAGACAAGAAAAGTCCTGGATCAGTAACTCCAGAGATATTGATTTGTTATGGGAACACGGAGGACTTTGCTACTCGACAGATTCAACGTGCATCAGTCATCATTTACTACACGGGGAGTCTGTCTTCGCCGGCGGGGATCGAACCCCCGAACTGTTGGACTTGGGACCAGTGCCCTACCAACCACGCTATCTTGGCCTCAAAAGGAATTTTATTAGCTTTTTCAATGCAAAATGTCTATCAAATCTACCACTGTATATATATTTTTTAACTTTCAGAGTACGCTTACAAAGTATGTTGGCCAAATGGAACTTGGTATGAAAATTACAACAGACGAGAATGGACAAATTATACGAAATGTGGAAGAACAGATGTAAGCAGATATATTATATGTTTTTTTAAATCAAATTTATGTATCACAATCATCCGTAGAATTGCTACGCTCATATTAAAATCTACTAATATGAACAATTATAGGAAATATGGAAGAACAGATGTAGAAAGATATATAATATATTTTTTTATCAATTTCATGTATCACTACAACGCAATCTTCTTTAGAATTGCTATGTTCATATCAAAATTTACTAAAAAAAAACATCCTTAAATGTCGGCATTTAAAATAGGTAATAAATGTAACCAAATTTCAAACTGAATTCCTTAATATTTTTCCTTTTTACTTCTTAGCATACAAATGATTAGTCTTCACTTTTTGGTTTCTAATTCGGAATAAGAATTACTTAAAATATATTTTTCATGGGAAAAATAATAACATGCGATTGTTAAATTGTTATAGTTTACTAAACACTTTTATCCTGTTGTTATCGTGGGCTGTTAAGGCAAGGAGTGCAATTGATATTGTTTTCCGATGGCACCATCTATGGTCAATAATTCGATTGCTGTCACAACCATACGTCACACTCGTTTATAGGGCGGATCCATTCATACATCCATTCATTTATCATAGATCTTAATTTTGACCTAAACCGGACGTAATAATAAACTTTAGTATGATATATGTCTACACATAATTAATTGTGTTATAAAACTGGTGTAAACTACATTTATTAATTTTTCACCAGTTTCATAATACTATTTTTCGCTAAAAAATTGTTAAGCGGGGAGTTTCTGACTTTATTTCTCAGTTCAAAGAGGGAAACGGAGAGCAGAAATTATCTCTGTGTTAAAAAAGAATGTAGACTTCCCATGTTATCACATACGAATTTGAGCAACATGGTATTTTAGGTCATGAGTTTATAAACAAGAACTTGTCAAAAATTTTAATTTTTAGCAATTTCTTTTTCACTCTAACGTTTCTTTTTTCAATTTCCTATTATGTTAACAAAAGTCGCACCCCATCTTTCGAACATTGGTGTCAGACGGTGAGATATAACTTTTAAAAAAAATGGCGTAATGTCACAATAACTCCTCGATAATGAACTTGTCATACTGAGATAAGCAATGAATATTTATTCTTAGGGATAGTTGGATCTGGTAGGCATTCAAATAATAGATACTGCAGGATCGATTATGGTTACAATATTTGTAAATTGAAAGTTTAAATAGATTATGAAATAAAAATTACAATTGTTTTAATTAATTTCAGCACAAAAATAGTTCTCTTTCAATTATAATTTTTTTGAAATGTGCATTTTTGTTATTTAGGAACACAGACGCCAGCTGTACTTTCATGTTGCTACTTATTCAATATCTGTCATTTCTATGGTGCCTGCTCTTATTATATTCTCAGTATACAAGTAAGAACTAAATAAATATTTATCTAACGAAATAATAAACAACTATATATAAAAATTTAATGACAGTGTTGCAGTTTTTCATTGTTGTCGGTACATTTTCATTGGCCAGAAAAATCACATGGTTGGGTGCAATTTTCCCACATTAATTTCCATAATTCTTTGGTTGTCATCAGCATAAAATAATAGTGTTGTAGTTTTTCATTGTTGTCGGTACATTTTCATTGGCCAGAAAAATCACATGGTAGGGTGCAATTTTCCCACATTAATTTCCATAATTCTTTGGTTGTCATTAGCATAAAATAATAGTGTCGCAGTTTTCCATTGTTGTCGGTACATTTTCATTGGCCAGAAAAATCACATGGTTGGGTGCAATTTTCCCACATTAATTTCCATAATTCTTTGGTTGTCATCAGCATAAAATAATAGTGTCGCAGTTTTCCATTGTTGTCGGTACATTTTTATTGGCCAGAAAAATCACATGGTTGGGTGCAATTTTCCCACATTAATTTCCATAATTCTTTGGTTGTCATCAGCATAAAATTCATAAAAGGCTTGGAAAATATTTTTTTCCTATGAAATAGTTTTGTATCCCAAATTTAAAAGTAACCTGTAATATTTCTTTACTTATTTTGTTCTCCTATTATCACGTTTTTGATTTTGATTGTTTTTTAAGAGTTCAAAACTAAAAGAATATCTAAATTCCACCGTAATTCTATAATATTAGCTTATTTCACGACATTTTAAAACAAACTTATTTAAAGCGGTGTTTATACAGATGAATCATTTTACAATTAGTATCTTTTGGTGTAAATTACACGAATACGCTATTATAAATTATCGTAAAAGAGATTCGTTCGATGATTTAGAACTCAACCATCAGCTTTCACGCATAATGTGATCTATGCAAAAATTGCATTTTAATATATCAGTCTGTTTGGTAAGCGGAAATATTAAATGACGCTTGTGAACTCAGCAAATTTGTATTCACCTTTTGTTATTACTTTTAATTTCAAATATTATTTTAATAAACGGATGAAAAGCAAAATTATTAATGTTCACTAATAGATTGTGATAGATAAGAAAACATGTGGATGAAAAGCGTAAGCCAAAAGAATTCATTTATTTGTGTTTTAAATTTCGAAAAAATAATATTTTATGCCAAGAAAAAACAATTATTGCGAAGCCCTCTTAAGGTTTAGTGAGCGAACAGGGGACCTAATTATGTGTGCGATGAGTTTTATTTGAAAAATTATCGAAAACTGGGGATGTAAATTTTTTTTTACAGTCAGAAATTTGTTGCTTAGCAACCTAGTAAAATTAAGCACTCCTCTTTTGAATTAGTCAATGGGTTATCTTAAAATATTTATTTGAGCACGCGACTTTTTTTGGCGGTTTACTGGACTATAGCCAAATATATAAACCTTTATTGCGGCCCAATTTACCACCCAATTTTTTTCAAATTTTGTCTACCCCCCTTAATTCAAGGGTCTAGATTCCAAATATGTAAAAAAAATTACATGTTTATTCAGAGAAAGTACGTTTTTGTGTCTGATTTCGTAACTTAATTAATAGTTAGCACTAATTAATTAACATATTTGAGGTCACCCCCAGGAACCATTAAGATTGACACTTAGTTCGTGAAAATCCGATCATTAGAACGAAAGTTATTCAGGGTGATTCGTTTTTTTTTTTTTGCGGACTGTACAGTTAGTGATAAATTGCAAAATATGAAGAAAATAGGTTTCCATCTTGAAAGAACATGATGCAATGTAACTAGCGATAGTTATAATGCTGGGGAATAAATTTAATATGCATTGAGCTGAAAAAAATATACAGTCCCTGGCAAAAATTATTAGACGCATTGTAAGATTCCACGTGAAATCTTAATTATTAGGTGATACTATAGAGCTGTGTTGTTTTTACGCGGTTGAAACCGGTTTGCACTTGTTTACCTTCGTGTATCAATGGGTTAACATTGTATAGTGCGGCTTTGAGGAGAACTCCTCCAGACTACATGTCTGGGCTGTCTGCTGCTATGGTAACAAGCGAGAGCACATTTCTAATTGGGGTGCAAGGGAGGAATGAAGGTGTCGATTGGTTTACTCACGCTGACCTATGCCAAGATCAAGACAAAACTATTCACCCCACACCCCTATTCGAAGTGACTTTTTCTCGTAACCATGGTAGCCGCCACGAAGCGAGACTAATGTTTGGAGGAGTTCTCCTGAAAGCCGTACAAATACAAATAGGAAGTACGTAAAAAATCTCCGGAATAAAAACCCATTACATGTATGTTTAAATATAAAAGTATTGCTTAGAAACTAGTGCGAAGCATTGCAATTATTATAAAAACTACAGTGCGTCTAATAGTTTGGTCTAATTGTTATAATATACTCATATAATACCTGATATAACAAATATTCTATATTCATATAATATATCCTCTAATTTATCCAATCATCGAACTTATATTATGTATCGTCTAATTTAACCAACTGATACACGAAAGTAACCAAGTGCAAACCGGTTTCTGTCGCGTAAATATAACGAAGCTGTATAATATCACCTAATAATTAAGATTTTACATAGAATCTTAGAGTGCGTTTAACAATTTGGCCAGGGTTAGTAAATCATAAATGTTCTGATTCGAAAGAGCTCTAGAATGCGCCCTATTCGAACAAATGAGATAGCATTTGAACTGCGGGCAATTCAAATGGTATACTTAACAGTTAATAAAATAATAAACATTTTAGTTTAAAATTCTTCTGGTAGATGGGTCTATAATAGACATAAATACACATAATAAGCGTCATAAATGTTAAATTATTTGAAAAAGTATAATTAAAATTACTCAACGTGTCCCTCTTCATGTTTTACTGTATGCTTTAATTGCAGAACTTTATTTTACTCATCGATTACTGAATTCTGCTGGTTTTGATAGAATGATTTAAAAAAAAAAAAAACGCTTTTCATTCAATGTTGGCATACAGAGCTGAACACCAAATAATAAAAGAATCGTCATTTCTTTTTTACCACTAGAGAATAGATAATAGCATACTTTCCAACTTTTATTTTGTCTAAAAATAATTTTCCGAAATGGTACTATTATGGTACCGAATGGTACCGATTAATGGTACCGAATTAATGGTACCGAAATGGTACTAATGGTACTATGGTATAAGATATATGAAAATTGCCATTTCAATTGTGGACAAATACATTTTTAAATTTTACCTACGCTTAGACATACCAACGCGTGATTTTTATGTATATATGTGTATATTCTTAATTTATTCATATGTAGTAACAGTAAAAATTATTCTAAATAATTTCAAGAATGAATTAAAAGCGAGACGAAAGTTTTCGTTCCACTTTCAATTAAAAACAAAATCTTGTGGAAAATTCGGAATAAATGGCTGAAAAAAAAGGAAAAAAAAAAGAAGCTTGCTCCAAAAAAGCAAATAATTACCGTTTATGTTAAAGTCTCATCTGTCAGAGGATTTTTGTACTAAAATATTTATTTAATAACCCACAATTGGAATTATTTATAATTCACATCTTCTCTTATTTGGACTAATCGCGTTCTAAAGAGTTCGAACCGGGAGATTTCGCTCTTGCTACTTTTGGATATACGTTTATTTTGTAAAAAAAAAAGTTAGCAACAAAACTGAGATTTTAGTTTCATCTAAAGTCTTACAATGACTATTTTTCATCATTTTAATAAATTCAGACAAAAGATCAGGTCTAAAAGTTTCAAATTGCCGGCAAAAACATCATGGAGGATACACATTATTTTTTTCGTCAAATGCAAGTGAGAGAAAAAAAAAAAAAAAAAAAAAAAAACCGACCTCCTAAACAACTTTTGATCTAATGAACGGATCTTCCCGTTTTAGAACTCAATCTTAAGGGTTCGACAGGGTGACCTCAAATATGCTAATTAATGAGTGCAGACGATATTTAAGTTACGAAAACAGTACTTTCTCTGCATAAAACATAACTTTTATTCAACGGATTCGGATTTCTGACACCCAATATATAGGGGAAACATGATAACCATAGTTTGATAAGGAGAGCAATCCAAAGTTTGGACCCTTTAATGTTATTTTTACTTTTTGTGTATTTCACCATATCTCGAGAACTTTTTAAGTGAATTGAAGAATTTTGCACACAATTATACATTTCGTTTATCCAAAGATTATTCCAAGCAAAAAATAAATTTTAATAAAAATTGTTTTTTTTTTAATTATGTCATTTAATAATAGTTGAAATAATGTTGAAATAATGTATAAAAATTTTTACGCAATTTTAAAGTATGTAATTTTACATGGCAAAATATAAAATTTGAGTGAAATCGATTGAATAGCTCCTGATAATTCGAATTTGAAAGAAGTTATACACTTAAAATTCGGTCATTCAGAGTGGTCCGTTTTTCTATTTATTTTTTATTAGGCGCACTGCATGTAGTTTAAGACAAGTACACTCTATAACAAAAAAATCGACGCACCAAGAAGGAGTTGTCCGATTGAAACGAAAATAGGTGGATAGGAAGACAATGTACAGAATAGTAAATGATTAAAATTTCAGAGCAATTGAATAGTTTATTGCAGAGTTACAGTAACAAGCTCAATAAGGTGTTGATCCGCCTCTAGCCTGGATACAAGCTGCTACACGGCGTTTCATAGACCAATAAAGCTCCCGGATGGTCTCTTGCGGTATTTCCTGCCAAATTCGATCCAATTGTCGAACGAGGTCATCAATATTCCGTGCCAGATGCAATCGCCTTGCTCGAGACATGCTCGATGAGAGAGATGCATCCCAGACATGCTCGATGAGAGAGAGATCTGGTGATCTGGCAGGCCAAGGAAGAGTTTGACAAGCTTGCAGACAGTTCATAGCAACACGTGCCGTATGTGGTCTGGCATTGTCCTNTTTTACTCATCGATTACTGAATTCTGCTGGTTCTGATAAAATGATTTAAAAAAAAAACACTTTTCATTCAATGTTGGCATACAGAGCTGAACACCAAATAATAATAGAATCCTCATTTCTTTTTTATCACTAGGGTATAGGTAATAGCATACTTTCCAACTTTTATTTTGTCTAAAAATAATTTTCCGAATGGTACTATTATGGTACCGACTAATGGTACCGAAATGGTACTAATGGTATAAGATATATGAAAATTGCCACTTCAATTGTGGACAAATACATTTTTAAATTTTACCTACGCTTAGACATACCAACGCGTGATTTTTATGTATATATGTGTATATTCTTAATTTATTCATATGTAGTGACAGTAAAAATTATTCTAAATTAAATTCAGGAATTCAAAAATGAATTAAAAGCGAAGCAAAAGTTTTTGTACCACTTACAATTCAAAATAAAATCTTGTGAAAATTCGGAAAAAAAATGGCTGAAAAAAAAAGGAAAAGAAAAGAAGCTTGCTCCAAAAGAACAAATCACATTTTCAATACAAGCAAATAATTACCGTTTAGGTTAAAGTCTCATCTGTCAGAGGATTTTTGTACTGAAATATTTATTTAATAACCCGCAATTGGAATTATCTATAATTCACATCTTCTCTTATTTGGACTAATCGCGTTCTAAAGCGTTCGAACCGGGAGATTTCTTTCTTGCTATACTTTTGGATATACGTTTATTTTGTAAAAAAAAAAGTTAGCAACAAAACTGAGATTTTAGTTTCATCTAAAGTCTTACAGTTCACTATTTTCATCATTTTAATAAATTCAGACAAAAGACCAGGTCTAAAATTTTCAAATTGCCGGCAAAAACATCATGGAGGATACACATTATTTTTTTTGTCAAATGCAAGTGAGCAAAAAAAAAAAAAAAAAAAAAAAAAAAAAAAAAAAAAAAAAAAAAAAAANAAAAAAAAAAAAAAAACCGACCTCCTAAACAACTTTTGATCTAATGATCGGATCTCCCCGTTTTAGGACTCAATCTTAAAGGTTCGACAGGGTGACCTCAGATATGCTAATTAATGAGTTCAGACGATATTTAAGTTACGAAATCAGTCACAACGTACTTTCTCTGTATAAAACATAACTTTTAGTCAACGGATTCGGATTTCTGACACCCAATATATAGGGGGAAGCCGCAATCTGGGAAACATGATAACCATAGTTTGGTAAGGAGAGCAATCCAAAGTTTGGACCCTTTAATGTTAATTTCACTTTTTGTGTATTTCGCCATATTTCGAGAACTTTTTAAGTGAATTGAAGAATTTTGCACACAATTATAAATTTCGTTAAATCCAAAATTTATTCCAAAAAAAATTTTTTTAATAAAATTTTTTTTTTTATTATTATGTCATTTAATAATAGTTGAAAATATTTTGAAAAATAATGCATAAACATTTTTACGCAATTTTAAAGTATGTAATTTTACATGGCAAAATGTAAAATTTGAGTGAAATCGATTGAATAGTTCCTGATAATTCGAATTTGAAAGAAGTTGTACGCTTAAAATTCGGTCATTCAGAGTGGTCCGTTTTTTTTATTTATTTTTTATTTGGCACACTGCATGCAGTTTAAGCAAAATACTATATCCCATTAATAAATCAAAGCGTAACAAAGTGATAAATATAAAAAAAATGGCATTTTTTTAAAAATAATCTTCGAAACATTAAATAAAATACATTTCAAAATATTTATTTCTTAAAAGCAATATTTTTGTTAAGAATAGAGGCGACTATTTAATCTGAAATGATCATTACTAACGTTCAAATAATGTTCTAAATCGTTTCCGTCTAAAAATACACGCTTTTCTGTTACTGAAATATTTTTTAGACTGCATTACTATAATCTAATTTAACTAAATGGCTTCTTTATTTCTCTCTTTGGAGCAGTTTAAAAGGAAATAGAATAATTGCTGCAATTGAAAGAAACTTTGTAATGATTGCAGTTTAAAGCTTAAATTTATTTGCTTTAGATTGCAACAGAGAATAAATGGTTCAATTATACGATAACCATCTTGCAAAAGTATTGCTTTAAGAGTGAATTGATATATCTTTCATGATTTTAAACTTGTTAGAGTTTTTACTATATGTATATATTTGCTCGCTTTCATTATGCTATTATTATGCTATATACTCAAGCTCATTATACTACATACTATTATTATTTTGTGCAGAATTATTTTGGTATCATCTTTGTAATCAAATATTTACCTTTTAATCAATTGCTTTCTTAACTATTATAGTTTACTTATTGTGCCATGAAAAATATGTGAAAATGCGTAATTTATTTTAATTTTTGTTGAATATTATAGTTAAACTAAAATGACTTCTTGATCTATACTCTTAAACTACTGCGTATTAAAAAATAAAACTTATTGTCAGTATAAAGTAGTAAAGCTTTAATAGAAAGCTATTTTATAAATTAAAAAATATTTTTATGAAGCGCATGAAAAAAATAGCCGTAATGAATTAACGGCAATTTATTTTCAAAAAAAACTAATCAAATTACTAAAATGTGGAAATAATGTTCTATATTTATCTGGATTGTTCTGAATGTGATTTGAAGTTCATAGCGATTGTTACGAAATGTAGTAACTATTCAAACTAATAAAAAAAAATCTATTAGTTGAAAAACTTACAAGTCCTGCAAATAGTTTATTAGAAAAAAAAACTGAGGTATAATTTTCTCTCTCGAATTGTTTCTAAGCATAAGTGCGAGATACAATAAGATGTGTTTTGCGTAAGCAAATTTTGGGTTGTCTAACTGGCCTGTCACATGAGAGTGATGTTAAGAGATATAAATGATATGAGGCATATCGAGCGTTATTTTTTATAACCGTCGTTGAGCAGTCGACCCAATTTTGGGTTTACGATTACCAATGTTCAACTCCGTAGTATTGTAATTTTAAACGCAATCCGGAAGACAAGGGAACTCCTGGCTCAAGTATTGTAGGGAAATTTGCCTTCGTGGAGGACTTTTTGATGGAACTAATTCACATTTGCGTTACATGGAGAGGAAATCCACGAAAACCTCCCACTGTCCTTACATTCTGGTATTATTTTATTTCTCTTGGTATTTAACCACGCTTAATTTTTTATGCACCGTGCCACCCTTTGTTGTCCGTTCTTAGTAATTGTCCAGCAGTGTACAATAGAACTAATTTACATAATCCGTGAAAGTTGTTAGTGTTCTTAAAGTGTCTAAGCAAATGTTTTTAGATACATCAGTGCCATTATATACTCTTCTAAAGTTTTAACTGATTTGATAAAATATTGCCTTTTCGTTGAGCGTTAATTTTTTTTCAAGCATTCATTCTTGTTGAGCGTTATTTTTTTGTATTCAAGTTGAGAGTTACTTTTTTTAAAATTATAATCCCGTTTAGCGTTATTTTTTATTGTATTCCAGTTGAGCCTTTTTTTTTATTGCATTCGTAAGTGTTTTAGTAAAATGATTATTCGCTCAACACACAGGCATTTTGTCAAAAATTCAATTTGTCAAAGTTTCAATTTGTAAAAAATCCAAACACAATAAAAACTCATTATACAAGCAATTTATTAATAATGATACCTATTTGTTTTTGTAAGTAAAATGGATCTTGTAAAACGTCTTCTGAATCATCTCATATCATCGATCATGCACGCCCTTGGGCACTTCTTATCCTAACTATTTTAATTACAATTTATAGTTATGTATTTTTATTCCTTAATTGTAAGACAAACCTCTCAAGAGCGACAGGAATAAATGATGTTTTAATGAGGCAGAACATATTTTCTTCTTCTTGTTGACAGGCAGTTACAAGTGCATCGCATCTCCATGCACAAGAACCTCTTCGTCTCATTCTTCTTCAAGGGATTGGCTGTCGTCCTCTTCAAGTTCTTCGTCGTCATCGATGAATTCAATAGATCACCCACTTACGTCACCATCATGGCATACAACAGCGTAAGTAAGGAAATTAACACACTGCAATTAAGAAGTAAATTACGGGATCTGCCTGTAAAATTAAAATGTTTCCCTTTAATGTTCGCTAACGGTAAGTTTAAGGTAACTTCGAAAAGATTACCTGACATTTAAAGATACAAGTCTAGAGAAAAAGTTAGTACAGTTAGCCATGAAAGTTAATATTTTATTCCTTACATATATTTCTGAGTTCAGCATCTCCCAATTTTTTTATGGCCATGGAACCCTAAATAAGCGGTTCCCAAATAGTGTTCTGCGGAACACTAGGATTCCGTGGCAGGGTTCCGAGAGTTAAAATTTTTTTGATCGGTTAAGAATTTCTGAACCTGTAATTAAATTTATATCCGGTTAATAATCAATTATTTATTATTTCCGTTGTTTTTATGAAATTATTATGAGGATAGATTAGGAGAAACATCAGTGTTCGAAGTACCGGTTAAATGCATGCCGGGCAGTGGCACTTAACTTAAAAAAAAAATCAGTGTAGGATATACCGGGCAGTGGCACTGAACCTTAAAAAAACATCAGTGTATGGCATACCGGGAAAATGTATACCGGGCAGTGGCACTTAACTAGACCTAGTATATAATTCTAAGATTTACCAAAGCGACTATGTGATTGTTAACATTCACCGGTGGAAGTCAACAACCACCCATTTCTGCCATTCACAGTATACCATATGTACTTGGCGAAAACTTGACTTTAAGAGAAAACTAGTATAGAGTATACCGAGAAGTTTTCGGTTAAACTTCTCCATGATTATTAAAAGTAAAAAAATAAAGAGGAAAAGATCATGTGAACAGAACCCACTCTCTGATTGGTTGTTCTAGACTTTTTGAATGCAGTAACTGAAGAAAGACTAGTTATTTTGAACATATTTAATGTGATGAATAAAATACTTTTATTGTTTTATCAGTGAAATTAGATTGTTTGTAGCGATAATTGTTTGCAGCGACTTCTAAATTTGTTTTGAGTGTATGCATAAGCTAAAAATGAATTATAGTTTTCGAAAAAGGTTTGTATTAAACATCAAGAATAGTTATGAGAGAAACATAATTCTTTATTCTTAAATTTGGTAATTTATTATGAAATTAGAATTTTAATGAGAAACACTGATGCAGTTCTTTTTATAAATGCATATACTGTTTATAATTTATTCACTACATATTTTTTATAGAAAACAATATTTAATTTAATTTTTCCATTTGTATTTTACTTAGATAGTTTCATAAAAATAGTCTTAATATTAAATAAATCATGGATAAATATAATTCTGGATAGATATAAATATAACTACGGGTTTCAAAAACCATTAATGGTAACTCTGAGAACCTTCCACGGAACCTTAGAGTTCCCCGGAACAAATTTTAAGAACTACGGATTTTATTAATATTTTATTCCTAGAAAACAGCGTTTTCCTTGTCCATTAGATAAGTTTTATATTTTAAAAGGTTAGGGGCTAAACTTTCAGATACTGAATTATGATGTTATCACATGTGGCGGAATTGGAATTTAATCCATCCTTTGGAACTTTCAGCGGTAAAATGCTGTAATGTAAACAGAACTTTAAATACCACAGCACTAAGAGCAAGATAAAAACAATAAAATGACTAAAAAAATGTTTTAAAAAAAATGACACAAACAGAACCAAAAAATTAATATAATTGTTAAGAGGTGAAGAATACGAGTGCTCAGTACATGAGATACCTTGTTATTTAATTTCAATGAATTATATGGATTAATTACCAAATAAATTTCATAATCATAAAGTTTCCTTAAGTTTTTAGCATAACAATTTAAATCGTTTTGTTGTTTTAATTAAGAAGAAACTTTTTGAATAAATTTCAATTTCCCCCCCTTAATTTTCAGAAACAATGAGCAAAACCAACATAAACCTTGTTTTTACATAGAATATATAAAAGAAATTTTTTAAACTGCTTTAATTAAATTATCTTTAAAGTTTTCTAAAAATAGCATCAGGTATTGACGTTCATCATATAAAATAGAAATAGCGTTTCTCAAGGAATTTATACAACTCTTTTCTAGTACCTCATAATTTTTTTTAAATTTATTTTTTGAACAAATAAGATAAAAGAATGTTTGTGTGAAAGATAAACTAAGCTCTTAAATCCAAAAGAAAATATTTAAATATTTAAGGCGAAATGTCGGCGGCGATTCTTTTTCAAGTGAATTGTAAACACGGTTCTGAAAAAACGGTATTTACTTTTCTTGACTGAGCGTTCGAAAATTCCTCGGAATACTTCTCGTCACTTCAAGCTCTTCTTTAAATTTTCAGAATGGTTTAAATAAAGTAAGGTGTTAGGAAAGCGTTTGAAAGTTTCAATTGTTTTCACGAAATGAAGTTAAAGCAAGAAGATATATTTGGAATAAAAAAAGTTGCTATACTTTATATATTCTACTTTAGAAATTGGTAATGGTCGTTATATGTTAAAGCTTAAAAAAGTTAGAAAACTCTTCAATATCAAAAGCGATATATTTTGTGACTTTTAGAATAAAATATTCTACTTCACGTCTGTCAGAATTTCATTCAATGTCAATTCATTTTAAATAAGGAGACATTCTTCGATATTTTTATTTAAAAATTACATTTTGTTTCAGTAACTTTTTAAAAACTATATGTTACAAGTTATTTATTCTATGATTTGTTCATTCATGCACTATAAAATCCTCCGAAGATAATTAAATATTTTTATACTTACAACATCATAGTGTGCATATTTTTATTAACAATAAAGAAGTTTAACATTCGAAATTCGTGAAATAATAAAGATATTGGTTTTCATGCAGTAGTTTTTTCGTAAACCACATTTTAATTCTGAAGAAACATTTTAATTAAAGGAAAACGTTTTACATTTATAACGTGTGAATCAATCACAGATTTCATCCAGAATTTTATCATTTGAAGTTCTTTAAACAATAATACGTTGAGCGTTTTTAGCAATATTATTTTGCAAACTAAACATACAGCACGCAAAATAAAAAACGGACCACTTTTAATTACTTTTGATCTAATGATAGGATCTACAAGCTCTAAAACTCACCCTTAATTGTTGGAGAGGTTGACCACAAATAAGCTAATTAATCAGTGCCGACGATATTTTAGTACGAATTCAGACACAAAAACGTGCTCTCTCTCTAAATGAACATTCCTATTTTCCGACGGATTCGGATTTATCACCCCCTAAATGTAGGGGATCTAATGCAGCAATCTAGAAAATAGGGTCAAACAAATCGAATAAGTCGAGCTGATAGTCTCTCGATTTAAGTTAGAATGTTAATTAACTTGAAGTTAATTAAATACAGCGACGAATTGCACTTCGAATTTGTTTAAATATAATCATTTTTTTCAACGTCTTTTACTTAACTTAGATTATTATTCGTTTATATATTTTATTGTGACCGTGATATATTTTTGTTTTGGCAATTTCAATGCAATTAATGTGTCTATGTTCTGCATGTCTGTCCTTGTGTTAAGTAAGAAATATTCAGCGGAAGAATTGAAATCTTTGGTAAAGAAGAGAATTAATTTCCACCCACTTAATTTTTGACTGATTTTGATTAATTTGACCACTTGATTTTCCCACTTAAGAGAATTATTACTTCACAGGCTTGACTTACTTGAAATAGAATGAAAAGAACAGTTGATAACGTAAATGCCACGTTTCAACAAGCATAGAAATACCCACACTACGTCACTTGCAGGTATCCCACTATAAAAAATTTTTACCCATAGATAATTTCGAGCAAAAAATAATTTTTAATAATTATTTTTTACCATTGTATTTCATAAATACCAAAAATAATTTGATTTTCAACTTGATTACATCCTTTTAAAGTACGTAACTTTAAATTGCAAAATACAAAATTTGAATGAAATCGGTCGAATAATTTTTGAGTGTTAAATTTTTTTTAAAAAATAAAATCCTATAGTTAAAATTGTATTTCTCACAAACAATTCGTTCAAATATTGTATTTTACTATGTAGAATTGTGGCTGGGTGGCGCAGTTGGTTTGTCGTCGGCCTTCTGAGCCCAAGTTTGCGGGTTCGATCCCGGTCCGGGATGCAGAAAATCCTCAACGGCCATGTCGTATGACTATGCGGCATGTAAAAGATCCCTGGAGTGCCTTATAGGATCTTGGCATTTCCGGCAAAATTAAATTCCTAGTGCACTTTAGCATCCAAATAGAGTCTCGGTGCTGCCATGTAGTGTGGCAGAAACTAGACGTCCAAATTAACACGACTAACGGTATCTCACCCATTGTGGTGGTCCTGAAAGAGTGGATACCACCTCTGAAGAACGCATTAGGTCTGCTCATCGACAAGACCGATTGTGCAGTTCATTGGAAATAAGGAAAAACTATGTAGAATTACATTCTTTAAAGTGATGTAAAAATATGTTAAACTTACAAAAAAATTTTTTTACTATTGCTGTATAAAATAATAAAACATACTTATTAAAAATTAGTTTTTGCGCGAAATTATCTTTAAATGAACGTATTTTATAAATGAGTGCAAAAATGTCATGATTCGAACCTAACATATGACGAAATACGCAACAAAAAAAATGACAGTAAGGGGCCCAAACTACCCACCTTTCTCCAGTCTGAGATATTGAGACCCTATTTTCCAGATTGCAGTTACGCCATTATTTTTTGAAGGTCAAGAATTCATATCCGTCGCAAAAAAAAGTATGATTTAGAAAAAGTACGTTTTTGTGTATGAATTCGTAACGTAAAATATAGTCTACACTAATTAGCATATTTAATGTTGGACTCTCGAACTATTAAGATTGAGACGTTAAAGACGTGATAATCTGATCATTCGATCAAAAATTATTTAGGGTGCTCCTTTTTTCTGCGTATTGTTAAAATATCTTAATTGATGGAAACATTTTAACTTTCATAACTTATTAATTGTGTGTATTTATAACAATCAAGTAATAAAACATTAAAAATCCTGG